TGTGTCTAATTAAGCTGCCGGTCCCGTTGATAAGGTGCTGCTCTTTAAATCCACAAAGACTGACCCTGTGATGTGACAATGAACTAGATGTACTTGTTTATGTTTTTATCACATGAGAAGCTCTGAACATTAATCAGACCATATAAATAGCAGAAATGTTTTTCCACTGTCTTTGTCCAAGTTGTCTCCTCGCCAGGCTTAAAATATCAAGCGGGCAGATCAAAAGAACAGAGCATGAATATCAGAGTTAGTTATTATTATATATTATTTGCTTGGTATTTGAGACCCCAATGATGCGATATCAGTAAATGCCATATGAAACAATTTGATGTAAATTACAGGATTTATGTATGTAGATGTACGTAGCATGATAAACCCCATTTACCTTTTAATACAGTCTTTTTTTAACTGATGTCAGCTATAGTGAAATTAAATTAAATATCAGTTAAACATTTTTCATGATATGCAGTTTAATTGTCCACAACAGTCAAACTTGAAGTCATATTCGATTTAATTTGATGTAAGACCTACTTTTTATAATCCAATCAATTCCCAATGCACATGGATAAAATCAAGTTCCTCACATATTTTCATAAACATATTGAATTATGAAAGTGATATAAGGTTATGAATGCTGTTCAATACATATACAATTCCTTAATGTTTTGAAAGAAGTCTGTTATGCACACCAAGGTTGACAAAATACAGTAAAAACAGTCATTTTGTAAAATATTACGATTTAAAATAGCTGTTTTCTGAAATATATTTTATTCCTGTGAATAAAGATGAATTTTCAGAAATCATAAAATTCAGATTTACTGTTCAAGAAACATTTTTAATTATTATCAATATTGAAAACTGATTAATATTTCTGTGGAAAACATGATAAACTTTAAAAAAAAAAGACTCTGTCTAAACTATATATACATAAATAACTGCAATCCAAGACAGGACGACGACAGCACTGTCCAGACCGAGTATCAATGGATTAATAATCTGGATTTACTCTGAGCCAAGGCCAATCCCTTAAGCATGACACTCATTCCATACTGCCGCTGCTTAAATTCATGAGGCCTGGGGAAACATTTTTATGAGTGGCGAATCAGAAGTGTATACTATACATTCCTATCATCACAGGGCCCTGCTTATTGACAGGCCATCCTTATAATAATATTTTGATGTAACAAAAATGTACTGGCAGCATATTTTACGGAAGTTGTTGTAATAAGGCACCCGTGAGGTCATTTTCTAAACACGTTTAAAGCTATAGGTCTGTCATGCTTCTGCAAAATCCCTCACACCTGCTTTAACACGTAAGTGTGGGAGTGTTTGCAGAGCTGGGGGACTGCAGTGAAAGTTTGGTTAGGGTGATTCTCCTAGGATCAGCCCACCACAACCATGCTAAGATCGCTGTGCAAGTTTAATTTAGAGTGTGGAGGATTTGTGGGAACAAAGGAAGTTTATTCTGGGAGACCCTTGTTTGCAACATCCAACAAGCGGTTAAGGAAAATCCCTAGAATATGACTCACGGTGCTTGACAACCTGATTAAAAGTAAGCAATATAAGTAAACGCAATTAGCATTTTTTTAATCTCTTGGTTAGTAAAATGTTGTGTCCAGCTATGTCTCAGTTCCCATATAAGGGCAGATGTGAATGTGCATGTGTATAAAAATAGTTCAAGGCATTCTCCATTCACTCCAAATCCCTCCCGAGAGCTCTTTAATTTACAGAGCCGGGGGAAGTGTGATAGGTGTGTTAATCTGTCTGCTTGTGTCCCTGAAAACCCTGCTAATAACTCACTAGATATTCATTTCTTGTATGCATTACATCTCATCTATTTCCAATTTCGGCCTGGATATAATAATTTACATCTAGTGCCACTACAGGATGAAACAGCAGGGGGAAAACAATGCTAAATGCAAAAAAAAAAAAAAAAAAAAAAAATTAAACCAATCATGTTATTACGTATAGCGATTTTTAAAAGGGACGAGAACACTCTCAGAAAAAAAAGGTACAAAAACTGTCACTGTGGCTGTACCTTTCAAAAGGTAAACTTTTGTCCATTTCATGTGCTAATATGTCCATTTCAGGTGCTACTATGTCCATTTCATGTGCTAATATGTCCATTTCAGGTGCTACTATGTACATTTCAGGTGCTAATATGTGCATTTTAGGTGCTAATATGTACATTTTAGGTGCTAATGTAGCCTTGGTATGCAGCCTTTAAGTGTATCTTTTGAAAGGGTACAGCCCCAGTGACAGCTTTTGTACCTTTTTTTCTGAGAGTGAACACACTTCTCAAATCTTCTGATGTTAATAGCAAAGGCTGTGTGCATCTTTTTTAGTTGAACATCATCATGCCATTTCACATGGTAGAAGGTAGTTACAGTATACGAGGCAGCTTGCATGACATCTTAAAATCCATGAACAAAGCTATAAAACATTATAGAGAAATGACTCAGACTAGATTAAACAGATTCACTTGCAGCGAGAATGACTCAATGACTTAGTAACACTTTACTTGAAGGGGTGTGCATAACATGACACCTTTATAATCATGACATGACACATGTTATGAATACACTCTAAAAATTGCTGGGTTGTTTTAACCCAACTTTGGGTCAAATATGGACAAACCCAGCCATTGGGTTAATTAATTACATTCTTAATCCAACGTTTCCAACAAGCATTATCCAACAAGCATTTCAGCTTATAAAACTTAAACTGTTATTTATTTATTAAATGAGCGATCGTTTCGCTTGATAAGACCCTTATTCATCATCCGGAATCGTTTTAAGTCCTTTGAACAGTTTGCAGTTTGCACTGAAAGTGCCTTTTGGACCTTGAACCGTTTGGTTCCCATTGAAGTCCATTATATGGAGAAAATCCTGGAATATTTTCATCAAAAACCTTCATTTCTTTTCGACTGAAGAAAGAAAGACATGGACATCTTGGATGACAAATTATCAGCAAAAGTTTTTTCAAAAGTGAACTACTCCTTTAATGCATGTAAACCTGTTGTAGGAGACTCCAAAACAACATTAGGAAACTTTAAAATACGTAGCATTATTGGGGCACTTTAATATTTTTGTAGAAACCACGATGCGGGATGTATCTAGGATGTGGAAACTATTTTTTCAGGATTATTTAATGAATAGAGAGTTCAAAAGAGTAGAGATTATATAAAATATATAAAAACATTTAAAATGATAAATATCTATTGAACAATTTGGCACACGCTTGCATGCTAAATACAAATATGAATTTCTTAAAATGTGTAAACAGTGTATAGGCTACTATAAAATACATTTTTGGGTCGTAATGGTTTGTAAAATTTTTTAATAAAATAAATAGTTACTAATTAAATGTTTGTTGTAGCCCTTACAAGGAAACTTTTGTTCACTTTTGAATAAAATCTAGAACCTGAAGCAAAGCGTTAGTCTGAAACATGGATTGTTCATACCAACAAAGCTCTAATAAATCAGCATTCCAGCATTTTTGCGGAGAAAGTGGTGAACCCCTGTTGAAATAACCCATGTAAACACCCAGATCTCAACCTCTTCTGCCACAGCGCACCAGACGCCACCTTTGCAGAATGTCATTGCTACGTGTTAGACATGTGACGCAGGCCTCATCTCTTATCCTGTGGAAAAGCTGCACCTTCCTTGACCTGACATTTCTGTTCAGAGCCATCCATCTGCCATAACCAAGAGGTGTTGACAGCGCTGGATGATGAGGGTCCTCTGCATCTTCTGTCGACTGACACCATTTCTGCTCTCTGCAGCTGTGAGAAAACAGACCGAGAGCAAAGACAAACAAGAAATACCACATGATCTCTTGCGCATCCTGAGCCCTATTCCTTTTTAAAACTGTGCAATCATTTCCTACATTCAAAGCAAGCATCAAGTAAATCCACAGAGAGTGAGTGATAAATACTCTGTTTCGGGTTTTATAGTGCGCTACGCAGTATGGGATAAAAGTCGGCCTTATCCTGTGCTCAATTCATCCATCAGTGATGACTCATCATTGCACTGACACCTTCTCGTTTATTATTGTAGTTTTATTGTGGAGGCCGCAGTGCTACCAGGGCTTACGCTGTGGAATCGCACACTTGTGCCCCGGCATGTGATGGGCAGAAGGAGACGTGGAGCCATGCCAAAGACAGAAAAGTCAAGTCCAGGGAAAACACAACCAGCACACATTCCTGTACGCATCCCTCGGCTGTTAGATAAGAGCAGTGTGCTTTTCAAATATTTATCCAATGCTTGATTTAGGTTCTCCAAAGACTGTAATGCTCCTTAACACAAAGGAGTCTCCGAGTCCGCATGGTCCTATTGTTGTTGTTTTCCTTTATTTTCATTTCCCCTACAGCAATTTTCAATTACTGTTGACATTGAGCCCCAAAAGTTTAGTATAAAATCACTCAAGCAAACAGCACCAGAATAAATATGAACAAACATCATCATTTACATATGAGGAACTGTCTTTACATTTGCATGTTTCATTTACACTTTTGTTGTGACATTTATAATATTTACATTGTTTCTTTGGGTGGTAAGATAATTTTTCCCTCTTGTTAGTATTGTGCTATAATATTTTCATATGAGGACCACCAATATATATATATATATATATATATATATATATAATGAGCCTATTTCCAAAAAAAAGTGGAGTATCCCTTTAATGACGACTCTTTTCGGCCTCTTTTTAGGAGACAATAACTTTATTTATCATGCACTTCTTTAAAACAGCAGGCATTTGACATTCACAAACAGCTATATTACACACTGCAGGAAAGGGAATATTAGCATAGTAGAGATGAATGTAATATGGCTAAAATAATTTATAATATTTATGTTCTTATAGACAGTGATAAATCTTTAAGTAATTACCTTTGTATTAGTCATATATTTCATATCTTTATTTGTCCTAACAGTCCTGCTCTATATCACTCTCTATTTACTATAAACTAGAGTTTGGAAGGAAAATGATCCATCATTGACTTCCTTCATCAGTCGTGTGTCATCACAACAAACACTGGATGGAGGAGTCGCTACAAACAGGCCCGTCCTGTGATCTTGAGATGGGGATGTGTTCCCTTTGCATCTACCGCCCTCCCGTTTGTTTTCCCCACCCCTTTCAGTTCCTCCTATAAACTTTGTAGCGTGTCCCGAGAGCCTGTGTTTCGACATCCAACATTTTCCTGCTGGTTCACACTTTTCCTTATATTTGAAAAGGACTGCTTCTTTCTTTGGCTGCCATTTAACGGGTAAGAAAAACACTTTAAATCAAGTACATCTTCCCTTCAACTATTTACTATCACAGCTAAAATAATATTTACAAATTAGGTAAAATATTAAGATTTGCTAGTCATTGCATGTGGTTAACATCAGAAAATAGTGGAAGATATGAAAAATATCAATGCCGAAGGACATAGAGGATGATCCGTAGCAAGAACACCAAAAACATTTGCATCCTGTACTGGAATCCTTCTCTCATAAAATTTGTTTGCATGTAAATCAGTAAACAGAAAACAGTCGGTCAAAGTCAAACAATAATTTGATGTAGAAGAACTGTAATATACGCCCTTAAAAATAAAGGATCCATAAGGTTTTGGTCCTCCAAAGAACCTTTCAGTGAACAGTATTTAATTAGTGTGAATTTTAATAATAGAAAAATCTTTTTCCACTATAAAGAACCTTTTATGAAATGGAAAGGTACCGAAAGGTTCTTCATGAAACCATCCAAGCCAATGAGGAACCTTTGTTTTAAAGAGTGTAGGTTCATGGGAATAAAAATGTGCGTTGATGATATTCTATTTATTTTAACTGCACCACCAGTACACTTTTGTATAGTTTTTTGAAATTGAATTAAAGGCGAATCTAGTTGCTTTTTATTCAACTTCAATACAGTGAGACCACAGACGCTAGTGTTTACTTTACAGCTAAGCGGTTATAATAGTCTCTGGATCACAGGACTGGAATGCAAGCCCTCCCCTGATAAATACTGACTTTTGGTGTCTTTAAATTGAGATCAAGTTAAGTCTTGACCCACTCTGCTTTTGTTGTGATATTTCTATTTTTGTCATCTAGCTAATGTTTGTTTATCCAATGCTAAAGGGCTGCACTTGAGGTCTCAACGGTGATACAGGGTCTCTGTAATTCTAGAGAGACAGATAGAGAGAGAGAGAGAGAGAGAGAGAGAGAGAGAGAGAGAGAGAGAGAGAGAGAGAGAGAGAGACACCACCTTGTCTTTTTAATGGTCAATCAGCTTTTTTAACAAGAATGTTGTTCCTGGAAAATTATTCAGGACTGTCTTACTTGGAATTTAATAAACCCATACATCAGTACAAGAGAATGAGCACCCGAAAGAATGTACTAACAATCTGTAATTTAATTTAAAAGAAGTGTCAACATTAAAGTGACGCGATTGACTGCCACATCCAGAGCATGTGCATTTTGTAATTATTGAGCACATTTATCTGGAGACAGTTGATAAGAGTATATCGTTAGTTGTCAGACAAGTGGCTGTCACTGACGGATACATGTCCTTCACACTTTTAACACGAGTGCCCTAAAGAGGGTATAAGAGTACAGCAGTGAATGCTCTTTAACAGTCGAGTGCTGCTATAGTGTGTTCATGCTAATCAGATCACTTTGGCAAATGGCAAATATGGAAGACAATTATGAATAAAAACAATGACATAATCTGATTGTAAGGTTCCCATTGTTATTAAAGAATCCCTTATAAATAAAGAGCTACGTGGTAGCCTATTTGTGATATCTACAAGGCATTTTTAATTTCCTTTAATATTTTTGTAGATTAATTACATTACCCCCTCATACATGAATTATAAATTGTTATATTAGGAAGAAAAATAAAAGAGAAAAATAAATGCTTTATGTTTTGGGAAATAAAATATGTTTTATTTAATTATATATATATATATATATATATATATATAAACTTTTCTCTTTTTTCTTAAAAAATATTTTGATATTAAAGGAATAAATTCATTCATGTTAAATAAATAAAGTACAATTATATAGTACAAAGAAATCATTGAAATGTATTATATTTTTATTTATTATTTAATAAAGATAAAATGAAACAATATTTAAAAAAAATAAATTAGATTTTCTTAATGCTTATATAAAAAATACAGAAAGATTATTTAATTCATGTATTCATGTATTTCGCATGTATTCAAATCATGTCTCTATTGAGTGGCAGTAAATATCTCAGTGGTTTGATGCATCACTTTCATCAGCCATTTTGATTGTATGTGTGTGTATGTGTGTGTGTATGTGTGTGTGTTGTTCTATGGGGATGTTCTATAGTCTCATGCCTTCATTAGGGGCCAAGCACCGAAGGTGGAGGGACCTATTTTAATCTTTGGGGTTCATTCTGCTTCTTCCACTCGTGTTTGTTCTGGATTGTTCTAGATTATTTATTTATTTTATTATTTATTTAGTATGATAAAATTCGTAAGGTCTTGGACCACTCCAATGAACACTCAATTAAAAAAAAAAAAATCTAAAATTAATCTCAGGTCAAAATTACCCAAGGAGAGGATGAGGGAAAATATAAAGAGCATGAGGACAGTGATATTGAATTGTGGTAAGGCTGTAACATCACAACCTGAAAGTTACAAAAAGCTTGTGTTGTCTACTGTAGTGAACATGCATCAGAAGGTTAAATAAAGATAGAGCCTCCCACATCAGGACACATATAACACTTACAAGTCAAATCAGCTGTTATATTGTTATTTTTAAAACTTATATCATCCTCTTAAAATAGAATTTTTTTCTTTTCCCATAAAGCACCACAAGAACGCCACAACACCACCATCTCCATCCGTCTTTGTTCCACTAGTCTGCAGTCTTTACATCAGGATGGAGAAGGTGCAGCACATGACGCGGTCAGCGATTCGGAGGGCGTCCAACATCGAAGTGAACCCGCAGACCAAGCGCAATCTACAAGATCTCATCATCAACTTCTCCCTCATCCTCATCTGCCTGCTGCTCATCTACATTATCGTCTTGCTCATGTGACACCAAAAGATGACAACCGGCCAATCACAAGATGAGCTGTTCAAGATCTTGGACGATTTTAAGGAAATGAAAATGTCCTACCAATGACGATGTCAATTTCCTGATGATATGAGGGCACTGTTCTTTCTTTTTTTCATTTATGTTTGTTGCATTCTTCCTAAAACAATAAGCATATATTTTCCCAATAAAAAATTAGGTTCAGATTCATGTTTTGTATATGAATGTAGACCTCCCATAAGGAAGCAGTCATCTGAACTGTTCAAAAAGACACAAAGAATTAACATCAAAATGGCTGTAATTACAGGCTAAAGTTGTTCCCAATGGTGGGCTACAAGAGGATAGCAATTCCTCAGTCATTTATGTAAATATCCCCATAAAAAAACTACATTTTTGTAATTGTTGTGTTGAAATGCAAAATTTATAGGTCAGTCCCAGAAATCATATATTATTCACAAGCAGAGGTCACCGAGGTGAATTACACTTAAACGCTCTGTCTGTTTACACTTCCTGTAAACATGATCTGGGAGAGAGAGAGAAAATGGGGAATTTTAAGGATGTTTTTAAATGTGGACAACCAATAAAGAGAATGTTTGTTTTAAATGTTCTAACTGACTGAATTTTTTAAACAAAAGTTGTAAGAAATAAGCCATGTGCAGATCCTGTTGAAGTCACTGAAAGTACAGTGGAAAACCATACAAAGTGCCGGATTAAGTATTTAAAGTGCATTTCAAGTATTTTAAATAATTTATACTCTCCCTCCTCACAAACCTCACTTGAGAACCCCCCCCCCCCCCCCACCACCACCACCACTACCACCCCCCCACCTTCTTCAGAATAATTTAAATATAATGCAAATATTATGAATTTTGTCCTATTTGGCAGCTTGTCACTATGAAAAGTACTGGTACAGAAACAAATGATATATATATATATATTTTTTTATAAAGACAAATAAATTTGTTTGGTAAACTATTCCTAACTCTTTCCCTGCCAACATTTTTTAAACATTTGTTTTGTTGTTAAAAAAAATATTGCATCATTTTCACAAACTTTTCATCACTCCCAAAATACTTTGTCATATGAATATTTGAACACACAACATATATACTGTATTCTGGCTTTCAGTGTTTTCATCTATTAGGCATCTTTTGAAAGAGTACAGAATCCCCGGATTAAAACACAGGAAAACACGAATCAGAAACAAGCGGTAAAAACTTTCAGTTCAGTTCTGTTACCCATAGAATTACTGGATAATAACTAGTACTAAGCCTGAACCTACCCTTAAACCTACCCCTGTTCCATGTACTTACCTTATATTAGCCAGTACTTTCTAGGTAAGTACACTGTAAGTACTGTACTGTAAAAGGAAGCATTACCAAAACTTTTTGGGGGGTTCAAAAGCAGAGGATGTTTTTTTTTTTTCTTTTGATATATTGCATGTTCAGATATTCATACAAAAATTATTCTGGGGGCCATGATATTTAGGTGAAAACTATCAAAAATGCAGGTGGTTGGAAAGAGTTAAACAAACGAACAAACATTTTATTCAAGCTTCATGCAATCGTTTTTTAAATCAAACCTTGAGAAAATTTAGCTTTCGTCAAAGACAACGTCCGGGTTGGATTTAGAACATTAATGAAAACAGACCAAGTAGGCCGACTCTTTCAACACCCCCAAAGCTCGCACAGTCCTATACCTCTTCATGGGTCAACATATCATTCAGTAAACTCAGGCCATTTTGATTTATATGCTGTTAAATGTTTGATGATCGTGTTAGTTTACATGTTTACAAGCAATTTACATACTATCACTTGTTTTGATCCGGAGATTCCTTACTCTTTCAGAAGATGTATAATAGCCACTGGTCATTCTATATAGATCAGTGATAATACCGTATATAACAAGCGTAGTGTCATAAATTACGGAACGTCTCATCCCAAGACGTCATATAACTGACGTCTTGGGATGTCTTTTGACCATACGTCAAGGGTACCCTTAAACGTCGGTTAGATGACGTTATCGGATCCTAACCCCAATGGCGCCACCAGGGGGTGGCCAGGGGTGGCCATGGCCACCCCTGGCCGACTCCTGGCCACCCATTGGCCACCCCAATGGCCAGTATTAATTTTTGTAGCATCAGTTATGCATTTTATAAATAAGTCAAAAATATTCTTAAGTAAAAGAAGACGGGGAATTATGTGTCGTGACGTGCTTTTTAAGTGCCAAATGGTATACAGCAGCTTTTAGGTGTGTTTTTGCCACGTTTGGACAGGATGCAAACAGCGCGCTTTTCGGCGCCTCCCGCTTTTTTCACGTCAGTTTGGGTGACAAAGTCATCTGAAGTCATTCCATAGCTTAATGTGAGGGACAGAAGTATATTTACATAATTAAAGTATAAACTCGTTTTCCCTCCTCTGCGACTGTCATCATTCTCCATTCATATTCAAACAGCACGCGCGCCTCTTGGATGCACCGTAAAACTCTCTCCAATATGATATATTGTCATTTTAAATGCATGATCTGTAGATAAAAGTCTGTATATTCGCATAAAATTACTTTATTTTCTTGGAGTTTGTTGCTGTTTTTAAGCGACTCACTACCGTGTTCTGTTAGATCACACGTATATCACAAGGATTATAAATCGGCATCAAACGCACAATAACTGTGAAACAAAGGAACAAATCGCACTTGGATTTGTGCGCTCAACATTTTTTCGATTTGTGACATGAGCTTTTAAATGCGATGTTTTTCATGTAATCATGCAAGAACGGGCTCAATCATGGGTTTGCGCACTGAAATATTATTAAAAGCCAATATATTTTGTTATACCTAGCCTGCTCAATACATTTTAAATAAGCATAATTTAATTGTATATAATTTATTTGTAGTTTGGGGTTAGGGTTAGGGCTATGCACTTCTGAATTCTTGACATTAATATATAAATATAAAATTGTGACATGATTGCCTGATTGAATTTTAAAAGAGAACTAATAGTAATTTGTTTTTATTAACATATTTAGATTTTATAAAATTACTGTGCAGATTTTTTCAAGAATTACTTTTTGCTGCTGATGTATACACTCATTAAGTGTATTAAAAATTCATAATACATTTTAACTAATAATACATGCACACTAATAACTTAAAAATGATTAAATTCATCACAATTATGTAAGTATCTGGAAATTTGCTGTGGGACAAGGACCCTTATATATCATATAATATATATCATTATATACAATGTAATATATATTAGTTGGGCCCTAATAATATCATTAGTAACATTAAATATTACACAATAAACCAAAGTATATCAGTAGGAGTTTCCTTAAGTCTTTCTGATAGTTTTCTACAGGCTGGTTTATTACAACAGTAGAAAACAATTCTGAAATTATGGTTTATACTGTAGTTTTGGTGTGCCACCCCAAAATTTTAACTGGCCCCATCTGGCCACCCCTACGAAAAATTTCTGGAGGCGCCACTGCCTAACCCTACCCCAGACCTAAACCTACCCCTAAACCTACCCCGTCACCTAACCGACGTTAAAGGTAAAGCGTCAGTTGTATGACGGCCCGGGATCGTCATGTAACCGACGTTTAAGGGTACCCTAAAAAGGCGGATGTTGACGTATGGTCAAAAGACGTCCCAAGACGTCAGTTATATGACTTCTTGGGATGAGACTGTGTTAAAATGGCGGGAAAAAAGTTCAAAGACATGCAGTCCTGTTACTATGCTGGGAACGCATATATTCATAGATACTTTTTTTTCTTTTGCAGTTGATGACGTGTTATTTCACAACAAGACAGTATAATACAAAATATATAAGTGTCTGTGCAATTTATTTCAAAACTGGCAAGACATTGGTATTCCAACAGTTTTAGTCCATCCAGAAAAGACTTGTTATTTATGAATAGTATATGAAATGAATGTGCATCTCATTTTAAATCAAGTATCTGCCCATATCAAAAGGGAAAATAACAAACTCACAGTGAGATATCAAGAACAGACGAATGGATTATTGAAAACTGCAGTTTCACATGCTCTTCAGTCGAGTGTCTTGAAAAATTTAAAAGGAGAAGTACTGTGAAAATAGCTCTTGTGGTTGCTGTTCTTTTGGTGCTACAGTTGAATCCTCAGTCTTACGAGGGCTGCACAAAACACAGAAAAGTCAAACACAACCAGTTACACTGCAGCAGCATTAAAGGAAAGTGTAGTTGCAAATCCTAATCAAACACTTCCACATTGAGTCGCCACTTTATTGCATGGAGATACTATCTAAGAAGAGCTATACTTGTGTACAGTGGCCGCAAAAAGTATGTGGACACTTAAGCCACACTTTGAATGGCAATGCAATAGATTAGAAGTGGGATTTGTACTAAAGAAAGATTAAAATATATTCTGAATGCTTAACATTCCCATTAAGTTAACATTACTTCTGAATGTTCCCTTAATGTTCAAAATGTCCAGTATTTTAAAATGTTTTTTTTCTTTGGTATACACATGAATTTTATAGAAAGAGAATATTACTTTTGAATGTTGTGAATGTTGAAAAAAAAAAAATTAGTCGAACGTCCAACTAAAACGTTTCAGAAAAACATAATTCGATGTACAATGCATAAATTATGTTTTTGTGCTAACATTTTGAGAACATTATTAAAGACCTGATAACTTTAATGAACGAACATTCTATTAATGTTACTGAAAGAACGTTTCTTCATATTAGAAAACCTTGAATGTTTTTATGAAATGTTTTTTGAATGTGTTTTTACAATAAATAAGACACAAATAGGCCTTATTAAATACATTCTTTAAAACCACCTTAACTTTGGGTTAAAAGACATTGCATACACTATTTCTGAAAAATAAGTTAATTATGGAACAAAAAAAATTCTGTGATCACATTCAGACAGTTAAAAGTGTGGCAATACATCCAATTGTTATAAGAGTCTAAATACTTTTGGTGGCCACTGTAAATGTGTATTTACATTATTTCCATTTGGTAATCATTACTATAGACTGTTTTTTTGTTGACATCAAGAATATTCCTAAAATTTGACATCTGTAACTACCACAGCACACATTGCAGTGTCTCTTGACCAATAGGAAACTGCCCTCCTTGTTCAAGCATCAAAGAATCATATGCCAAGCTGAACCGTTTCCTTATAAATAATAAATAAAATATGCCCCTCTACCAGAAACGCTCTAATATTATCTCCCGTCTCTCAACTGTGCACAACACCTTCCTATTCCTGATTTTAACGTGGGCAGAAATAGCAGGAATAGCTGTTCATCATAAGAATAGCTCATTTTAAAACCACAAAACAACTAAATGCATGAGATGTGAAGGGCGGAGTACAGCTAATGGGCGGAGCCATACTCGTGACTGCTATGTGATGACGTGATGACATCAACCGCATGCTCGCGTTAACATTCCAATGCCATTGTGTGATCACACACTGCAGTTTACGTGAACTTTCAGTCCGATTTGTGATAATATTCTTGCCACAATAAGGACATTGAAACGCACAATTGATCATGCACACAAAGTAGCATAAAATAATGTGT